CGACTCATTTGGCGCGGGTTGGTCTCGGCTTATCGTGGCGCGTCGAAGACGATCTCCTGGGGTCGGTAAGAGAGGATCGCCCCCCCCCCCCCCCCGTGTCGACGGAAGTGGCCAAAGTGGTCGGGCCGACCGGTATATATCGCGCGCAGCCGGTGGGGAAACGAATCGCCGTTTATTTAAGTCGCGTTTTACACAAGTTTTGTGTCGCGTGAAACCCGACGACGACGATTAGCGGGGCGCCGCGGCCGCGGCCCCACTGACATAATATCTTCACTACTGAAATTGTAATATTGTGGTTGGCCAACCCCAACAGGTTTCTAATCAAACTCGTTCTGTGAGTGGGCGGCCGGGGCGGCAGGGCGCCGCGCCGAAGGTGTCGCTCGTGCTGCTCGGGAATATACGAGGGTGTCATGCAAATGAGAGGCACACTGTTGGACACTTCTGGCCGGCCGGCCCGTCATCATTGCAACACGGACCGTCACACGGACCGTCACACGGTCCGTCACGTGGACCGTCACGCGGACCGTCACACGGACCGTCACACGGGCCGTCACACGTACCGTCACACAGACCGTCACACGGACCGTCACACGGACCGTCACACGGACCGTCACACGGACCGTCACACGGACCGTCACACGGACCGTCACACTTGCGCCCCGTTTAATACCCGGCAACAGTGTTTGCCGACCGCCCATTGTGAAGTGTTTGACCAAACGCCCTGCTCTGCTAAAGGGATTCGCTGACTCACTCGCTGCTCTGCCTCGGCGGCGCCCGCGTTGCTGCCCCTCGCTGCTCTCATTGTCCGCCGCGTTACCCAACGACTGGACCTCCGCGCCGCGGGACCAACGAGTTGCCGGGCCCGACCGGGCCTCGTCGCCGAAAGGGCTGCCGAGGACGGGACCACCTGGGGAGGACGCGCCCGAGGGCCGGCGAGAACCTCCTAGCCGTCGATGTACCCGTCATTGCAGTACTTGAGCAGGGGGGCACGCCCCTGCCGCCGGAGCCTTTGCCGGGGCCCCCCTCTCGGGGTTACATCATTTGTGAATAACTTGCCGGCGAGTAACGGACTTGACTCCTACTATTACGGCGGATAACTGTCGGTGATGACACCGGAATTTCGCGTCGAGCCGCGCGTGCGGCCCTGCCTGCGGGAGGACGAAGAGGAGGAGGAGGAGGAGGGGGGCGGGTCGGCCAGGCGTCGGGGGCCGCGTGCCGCTCGCGACCAGGAGAGGATTATCCGCCGCGATTTATCCCAATCAGGGGGGCATTATCTCGGACGGTAACGGCCGCCGCCGCCCTGACCCGGCTGACGCCCGGCTGACGCCCGCCGACGCGCCTCGCGGTAGCACCTTGTTAGGCCGACTCGCATTCTCGCATTATTGCTATGCAGGCGGGCACAGCGGGGCGCCCGGCGGGCCACTCCATCCTCGCGGGTTCGGGACTCGCGACACTAATGGGGAAACCTTATACTACTTTGTGGCGGACAAGCAGGCGGACGCGTCGCCGACACGACGACATCGAGGAGGAGGTGGAGGAGGAGGAGGAGGAGGCTGGCGAGCGTCGCGCCCGGGATGTGTCCGTGCGGCCCGGCGCGTCCCCCGTTTATCGCATCACCACCGCGTCGACCCCGTTTCCCTCGACCGGGGCTCTCTCCCGCAAATCAGCAGCAGCCCGCGCTGCCGAGGACGAAACGAAGAGAGGACGACGTCATCGGGGCGTCACCCGGGCCGGACGGGCCTCGACGCCGATGTCGTGTTCCGTCGCAAAGCCGGCGACAGCCGGGAAGTGGAGGCGGCGTCTCGGCCGTCCAGCTGGTCGCGGCGACTCTCTTACCTGTCGTAGTTGTAGCCGTTGCTGCCGCCGGAGGTCGGTGGCAGGTACTGGTTGTTGGGCGGCTCGGCGCGCGTCAGAGCGACCGCAGCCAGTAGGGTGCTCACTGCCACCGCGACCTGCCACAGAGAAAGAAAAGTTGTTGGTGTTATTGTTGTTGTTGTCGTTGGTTTTGCTGTTGTTGTTGTTCTTGTTGCTGCTGCTAGTAGCGCCGCTGCGATGCTTCACGGTTCGAGTAATCGATCTCCATCAAGCCGCGGGCAGGCACGCACGTCCAACGCACAGGGTACCTCACGAGGTACCTCCTGGCCCGCCGACGGCGCCGTGTGTGCAAGCGAGCGAGAGGTGCGAGCGGAGAGAGAGAGAGAAAGACAGAGAAAGAGGATGAGAGAGACAGAGAGAGGCCGTGAACTCTCGGCACTGCGCTCGCCTCATAAAGCATCATCGCGGACGCCGCGGCTGGCGCGGGGCTCGCGGCCGCTCGCCGACCTCCTATGATTGGTGGGCGGGGCTTGCCCTATCGGGTTTTCTCGGGTCCCTATGGATTTCTTTCGCTTATACCGTGACCATCGTCGGATTTATTTTTTGTTTGGTTTTTGAATTGCCCGCATCTCGCAGGTCGGAAGGACGAAGCCATCATATACCCCCGCCTTCGAGTATTCAGCAGCCTTCAACAGGACGCATTAGGGATCGTCCCGAAAGTATGTCGGCTTTTCTTGTATCTATTCGGCAAATAACGTGAGCTCGACGCCTGCGAGACTCGGGGTAGGCCTCACCGCAGTACTCGCATGCGCTCCAGGCCAGATGTGGCCTACCCACCAGGCGCTACGAGAGCTTCCGTAGGCTGAACTGGGTCAGTTCGTTACGGTGAATGACAGACGTACTTTCTGGATGATCCCTAAAGAGGACGAGGGCACGGGGGATCTGCACGTAACCCGGCCAGGACCCCCAGGACCACCCAACGTCAGGCAGCAGCCCCAGACCCACCGAGTATTGACTACGCTCTACGCTGCTTTGTGCTACCTCAAATGAGTGAGTTACCAAAACAAAATCTGCAAGAGTCTTGTTTATGTGGCGGAAAGGAGGGACGACGAGGGCCAGTCAGTCGCGAAGCGTTCTGGCTCGCAGGGTGATGATGCAAGATGACTGGCAGCCACGCGTGTTGTCCGATCGACTTAGTTAGATAAATAAGGTTCCCGATGACTCTATTCGACTGATGCAATAACTCCGAGCAGGCCCGCTGTGCGTTATCTCGCGGGCCGCGGATCTCCATCGCGGTCGTGTCTCATCACCGTGACCGTGCTGTTCGGCCGGGCGTGGCACCTCCTCGCCTTGGCGCCGCCACATGGCGCGGCCGGGTTAAGTCAGGTTAGGGTCGGGCCCCGCCGCTCCGCCCGCCGCGCCGCCAAGGCGATTGACTTGTCAGGCGGCGGTAATTAGCGTGGCCGCCAGGGTCCCCCGCCGCCCCCGGCTGCTGTGCTGTGGGAAGCGCACACCACTTCCAGCAGCGCGGCGGCGCCGAGCGAATGGTAATGCCCACCCGGGCCAGGCCCGGCCCAGCCAGACCCGCTCCATTCAGAGCTCGGCGCGCACCATCCGTCACGGAGGCGCCGGCGGAGAGGCGCCAACGGCGATAACGTTCGGGACGGGACGTTTATTTCTTTTTCTTCGTCATTTTTTTG